ATATTTTTATTTTCATCTATCTCAATGAATATTAAAATCAGTTAGATTTTAAAAACCATTGATATAGATGAAAACGAAATTAGATTATTATATAATTTAATAAGTTCATAATATAATATAATATAATTTAAGAAATAAATATATAATTTAAGAAATTAATAATATTTTCGATTTTTTTTATTTAAATGGATTATTTAAATGTTTATTAGATATAAACGATGTTTATTAGATATAAAAGATAGATTTATTAGATATTAGATATAAATTGAAAATATAATATTCACGAAATTGTTCATATACTATGTTATAAGGAAATTCATTTAAACTATCTAAATAATATTTATTTATATTTATTTATTTATAAAATAAATTCTTTGTGAATGCATTATGAAATTGAAATACAAATACAATAATATAGATGATATAGATATGCAATATAAATATTTTTAAAATTAAAACTACTATTATATTATATAACAGTATAATCATGGAAAATAGAAACAAGAAATTCTGGATCAGTGATAGGGTCAATGTAAAAAATAATTACTCGAAAAATCTTCTGATATAATATATATATGTGTATTCATTAATACTTCGATCCTTTTTTTTTATAATCTCTATTGTTTCTCTATTATATAAATACATAATATATATTTATTGAATATTACACTGAATATTATTCTAGATCATAATTTTCTTTTTAACGGCAATGATCAATATGATGGTTGTGATTCCAATATATGCAATATGACAGATAAGACGATGTCCATCATTTATTTTGCCAAACTATTTCGCTTTTATATTAAAAAAAAAAATGATTTTATTATATTTTTCTTCATATTTTCTCCAGCAAAAAGATCTACTTTATTATACGAAGTTAGATTTTGTTCTAGATTTCTAATTTTTGAAATAAATTAAAAAATATCAATGTCAATAATTTTTAAATGAATGTATTTTTAGGGTTTGTAAATATTGATCATTATTTAAACATTAACTTTTGACTAACTAAATCGATTAATTAAACTATGGCAGTGGGATATGTCTTTGTCTTCCAATGCTAAAAAACTATTTTTTAACTAATTCATCTATTTATTCCTAATTTTGTTTTGTGGTATTAGAATATATATTGATTGTATAATTATAATTATTAAGAATAATTATTAAGAATTATTTTTTAACATTATTTATAAATTATTAAAATTTGAGATATAATAGAATTAAGAATAAGAATAAAGAATTTTTGAGATAAAATTTATGTAATAATAGAATAATAGAATTTCAAAATAAAATTAATAAATATAAATATATAATATAATATATTGTATAAAATAATAATAATTTAAAAAGATTATTTTATAAATTTTTTTATTTAATTTCGAAATATTAATTTTTAACAAATATTAATTTTTAAAAAAAATTGTTTTTGATTTAATTTAAAAATCTAGTTTTCAATTTTTTAATATAATATAATTTTTTATTTACAACTTTTTACAACTTACTATTATGTAATATAAAATAAATACTAATTAAAAGAATAATTTTCTCAAAATTAAATCAAATGATTTAAATCTTTTGAGAAGTTAGAAGAATTACTATATGATATATACAAATTTTTTGAAAAAATTGCAAAATCAGAATTTTAAAATAGTAAAGAACATTTTTTCAAAAATTTTTTTTAAAAAATTTATTATATAAGCCAATAATGAAAATTTGAATATATTTTATATAACTGATATAAATGTATATTAATATTATATATATATATATATATAAAATTCATCAAATCATTTTTTTAATATGTATATATATATATATATATATATACATATTAAAAAAATGATTATAATATATATATATATATATATATATATATTTGTTCAAAATTTCATCAAAATCGATTAATATAGAAACGTGTGATAGATATCGAAGAATATAAAAATGTTTAAGATAAAAATTTTAAAAAATTGCGATTTTCATCATTTTTAATTATTTGTAGCTTATAGAAAAATTATCTGATTTCGATTTTTCAATACGTATGTAATTGATATAAATGCAAAATATATTTTTTTAATTTTCATTACAAATTTAAATTTAAATCATTAAAAAAGTTATAAGAGATGATTTTTTCTATTTTATAAATCATATAAGTAGTAAATTAATCCTTTTTGTAACTTTTCAAAAAAATTTAAGTCGTTTGTTTTAATTTTAAAAAAATTATTCTGTTTTTGATAATTATATTAATATTATATTAATATTATTATATTAATATTATTATATTAATAATTGATAAATTTATATTTATATCCGTTATTCTATTACTATTCTATACTAATTTATATATTATTTTAATAAAAATATTTTTATTTATTGTTTTTTCTTTTTGTTAATTTATCATATTCTATGTGCATTGTAGATTCTAAAAAATATTAGGTTAGATTTTTTAATTTGTATTTTAGTTAAATTTTTAGAATGATTAAATAGAAACCATAGTATGTCTATCTATTACATTTTATGTATCGTATAAAACTATTCGTGATATTCAAAGTAACTTAGGACAAAGTGATTTAGAGAACAATAAAAAAGTGAATTTTAAAAATTTATTATTTAAAAAAATTTAATATTATTACTATAAAAATTTTACATAAAAATTCTGATTAATAATTTTAAGATTGATGATGTATTATTCGTATTAATAATAATAAAAATCATTGTAGCTATCTCAGTAGCAGCTAATAGCAGTTAATTTTTTTTTTTTACTTTAAAGCTAAATTTCGCCCTTTATAATGATGCTAGAAAAAAGATTAAACTTTACTAAACATATTTTAAAATTAAGATTGAAAATAAAAAATATTAAATAATGTATAATTCCAAAAATATTAATAATATCAAAATGAAATTTAGTATAAAGGAAATATATATCTACACAGAAATACATACCAGAAATACATAGTACACTTACTTCAATTAAAAATAATGGAATTAAAAAAACAACAAAATTGTAAATAATAATTCTATTTTTTAGTAATTTGGAAATTGACTTTTTTAAAATCATGTAATTATATTGATAACTAAAAAATATGAAAAGAAATCATATCATATTATGGAGAAAATGTTCAATTAATTATCTGTATAAAATTTTTTTTATTTTAAGGGTACTTCTAAAAAAAGACTTTTTAGCTCTTTTGAGAGGCAAATAGTCCATTATGCGCCGCACTATAGCGATTTAAAAAGGCAAACACAAAGACAAAACAGCGATTGTATCTAATGATATCCAATTCATACGAAAATATAAAATATGAGTTGCATCCTAACGTTCGAACGAATTCATTTAATATTTCATAATATTTCACAATAATTAATTGTTGCTATAAAAGCATAAAAAGTTTAAAAATAATTGAATGAATATTATTATAAAAGCACAACAAAAAATTTTTAAATTTTAATTTTTTTTAAAATTGAATTTTTTAAAAATTGTGAATTTTGAAAAAAAAAGGTTGCAAATTTGTATTCAGCAGATTAAAATCTAAAAGAAATATGAATTATTAAAGATTATAAAACTAAAAAGATTAAAATTTATCATATAATGTTATTAATTTTAAATTGAATTATTCTTAATTTTATATTTATCATATCTAGAGAAAATTTCTTTAAAATATAATAATTAGTGAAAACATAAAATGATCAACTTTGTAAAATTGTATATGAAATTTTAAAAAATTTTTGATTTTTTAGTACTAATTTTTTAGTACTAATAAATAATATTAAAGTAATTAATATTAAATTATATTTATCATAATTAAATCATGAGCATTAGTTTAAATTCATATTTTTATTACTTTCATATATTATAGAATATATGAAATATATTCATATCATATAATTATTAGAGAATACATATATTATTAAGAAAAAAATATAAAATAAACATTTATTTCATTCATTAATAAATTGAATATTTTATTTTTATTTTATATTATTTCAAAAATTTCACGTAAATGTATAAATATAATTTAATTATAACATATACAGAATATTCTGTAATTATAATATATAAGACAAATATAAAATAAATATAAAGAAAAAATTATTGTAAATAAATATAAAATACAATTAAATTAAAAATATAATTTTTTTTATTTAATTCCATCAGCAATTTAAATTTTCAAATGTTGATATAAAGATTAAAAATTTATTTAAAAAAATCGATTTCGTTTTAAAATATTATATAATAATATAATATTATATATAATATTATTATTAATAATATATTAATTAGAGAAATTGTTATCTATAAGATAAGTTTATAATTGCAAATTGTAATATCTAAATATCAATAAAAAATAATTTATTTATTAAATACAATTTATATAACTTATTATATAAATATAATTATAATATATATAATATATATAAATATATTATATAAGTTGTAAGAAAAATTTATAATAATATGTTTAATAATAATTATAATAATTTATATAATTATAATAATTTAAATTATTAAAAGTAAAAAAATGAGATTTAAAATAATTTAAATTAAATTAAAATTAAACTAAAATTATTAATTAATTAAGTAATTATATAAATTATATAAATTAATTAAGTAATTAATGAAAACTAAAATTAAAATAGTCGGTATTTATTATAAAATAAATATTATAGTTTTATATTTATAATTTTCGATGTATATTATAATATAATATAAAGTAAGTATAAAGATAACCAGGAACCAGATTTTAGAAAAATTATATATGTTATTAATTTTTTATTTAATTTAAAAATTTGTTGATTATTAAAATATCAAAATACAACAGCGAAAATATAATAGAGATTAATTTATTTAATTTATTTATTTATTTAATTTATATATCGAAGAAAAATGTTTATATTTTAATTGATTAATCTGAACGAAACTTTATTAATTATTTATAATTGATATTAATTCCATGATTAGTTTATTTTATTTTGACCACTCAATGTTTTTGATTATTATGTTTCAGATAATAAATTTCTTCATCTTTGTATTAAGATGACAGTTGTCTATTCTTCACCGAAAAAAAAGACAGAAAAAAGAAAGAGAGAGAATTAACATGTCGTTCGATAATAATTAATTAAAGAAAAAAATATCTATCGTGGCGGTTATATTTCGGAAATATTTGTCGATTAATAGTTTAAAGGTCTCATTGGAATCATTGGATCCATGCGCACGTGCAGTGGTGCTGCATCTCTAACTCTAAAATGGAAGATCAATCGCAGAATATTAAAAGATTATCAATAAGCCCTATTTCATCTTTCATCGACGGTGAGTGACTTTAATATTATCTCTTTTTTTTTCTTTTTTTTATTTTTCAATCAATTTAATGAAATATTTATTTAAAGATTTTAAATAAAATTTGTTTGATAAATTATGTATAAACATATGTGTTTCGTGAAATAAATTTTATTGAAAAGAAATGCAATAATAATAAGAATTGAAAAAATTCTTTATGAAATAAATTTAGTCGATTTTAAAATATTTAAAAGAGATTTTATTTTTTATTTAAAAGAGATAAAAATAATTCTTTGGTAAGGTAAAAATAAAAAAGAAAAAAAAAACAAAAATAAATTCATATCTAAAATTAACACAAAGTTTTTTTTGAGAAATACAATTATTATTTATTGCGCATCTTTCTTGACATGATATTGAAATAAATTTCTTTTTGGCGAAAACGAAATTTTATAATTTAAAATCACTGTATAATGTATAATTGTTAATTCTTACTAATAAGTAATAAAATATAATATAATGTAATATACTATAAAAATATAATATAAAACAAATGACAATAAAATATCTATGCAAAAGTAAATAATAGATTCATTTATATTATTACAATATAATTTTAAGTGCACTAAATTTTAATTTAGTTAAAATTGCTAAAATCAAGGAATATGTTTACTTATCTTATGTTTTTATCATATCTCTTCTATTAATTATACATATGATTAATATTAAATTTAATTATAAATAAAAAAACATTAAATTTTATTGAAATATTAAAAATCAATATTTTTATTATCAAACATTTTCAAATATTAACATTATGCATATTTCATATTTTCCCTCTTTAATAGAATTTGTTTTCATAATAGAAATAAGTATTTCATCATTTGATAATTTAATTATTTCTTTTTTTTGCAATTACTAAATCTATTTTTTATTTTTTTATTTCAATTATACAAATTAATAAAATATTTTATAATAATATATATTGTATATTATATAATAATATATATTATAAATAATTATTAATAAAATAATAAAATCTAGAAGATAGAAAAAATTTCATAAGACAAAATAAAATGTTATCGGATTACGAATGATTTTATATATAAGTTTACCCTGAAAATAAAAATATTTTAAGTATTTCAAAATTATGAAAAATTTAATTTATGAAGAAAAAACGCAATATTTTTATTAATTTATTAAATTAAATTATTAAATATGTTTATTTTTTTTATTATCTTTTTTTTTCTTTATCTTTCATATAAAACTAAATTATGAACTAATTGTTTTTAAACATTTAAATACCTTTTTTTATAAAAAATAAGAAAATTTTTTATATAGAAGAAACATTTCAATTAAAAAAAAATGGACTTTGAAATCTTGATATCATTTTTTTATTCAGTATATACTAAGTAATATATTATTAAAACTTCTTTTTATTACAATAAATATAATTTTTTTCTATTTTCTATTATTTAGTCTGAATAAATGAATATATAATGAATAATGATATTTTCTTAGTTTTAAATTTCATATTTTTTTATTTTGCTAATAAAGATTTTTATGTCAATTTTATTGCGTTAAATTGACGTAAGATATTTATATATTAAAAATATTCAAAATATGTAATATATAAAATATAAATAGTATAATATTAATATTTTATAATGCATATATGTATATTTAATAATATTCTTTGCAATTATTTCAATACATTGAAATTTGCATTATAAATTGCATTTTTTTTAAATTTAATATTAAAAAAGAAACAATCACTTTATGTTATATGATATTATAATTGGTGTATAAATTTGATATCTCTTATATAATATTTCGGATATCTTTTAAATTTGTTTCAATATTGTATCATACATTTGTTAATTTTGGTGCTCTTGTTATTTCAAATATTTGAAATTTTTAATATTTTAATAAATTTTATATTTTTTTTCTATTTTCTCTTTTTTTTTTAATTTAATTCTTTAATATTGCACCTTTTATCTTAAGTAACCTTTTATCTTATATTATTAGTGAAAAAATGAGGAAGAAGAAAAAAATATCTAAATTTATATTTTTGTCATGATAATATTACTACTTATAATTCATATGAAATAAATGCTACAATTTTTCTTTAGAATTATTAAATGAATTTTATTAAATTCATTCTTATATTTTAGAATTTCGTAATAGCATAGAATTTTTCTTATTTTCTATGATGAATCATCATGTTTTGAAAAGTATTTAAAATTATAGGATTTTAATCTTATATATTTAATTTATATTTTTTTGATTCTTAAGAATTTTATTACTATACTGAGATTGTCATTAATTTAACTAGTTCAAAATGTAATCATTATAATATTCTGATATATATAATATTATGATATATATTTTCATATGATATACGTGATTTATTATATTAAAGTTAAATTATACACAATAATTCATTTAATCCATAATTTCATGTTGTTGTTCTAGATTAATAGTATATTAATAGTAAATTTACATTTGCTATTAATATACTATTATTGTTTTTAGAATGTTATTTTGTTTTTAGAATGTTAAATCAAATACATTCATTTCTGTTTATATAAAATTTTCAAGATAATAGAAGATTATTCTAAAAATTAATTTCAGTTTTCTTCAATTCTTGATTGTTAAGAAATAATATTTAATGTTTGTGAAGTATCTGTTACTATATATTACTATTGAAAAATATTCCAGAATATTCTAAATTAAATATATATATATATGTATGATATAGAAAAGATAAGTAATGACTTTGGAAGAGTGAGACTCTTGATAATATTATTCTCTAAGTGGATTTAATTAATTAATCTATTTGTGGCAATGATAATAATTATAGTTGTTGTTTTATTATTATGTACAAAGTTCTATTCTGTATTTTTACTACTTTTACTTAAGGTAAATCCAAATTTTATAATTGAAAATTTGGGAGAAACAACAAATAGCATTCGTTGTAGTAATTAGTCTTGTAATTTTTGCAATAGTCTATATATAATTTTTTATAATTGTTTCATCATCAATAGTGTCGATTAATTGTTTCTTCTTTACTTGGAAATGAATTGTTCATCGTGATTTTAAGATTTTATCTTCTGTACAGAAGATGATTTATATCAAGGTAATCATGAAGCAATTATCCACATTGAAGCACATACTGCGATACATAGCATAACATAACAAGAATATTATGATTGGCAACATTGATTGCGAACAAATGTAAAAATGAATGATCGGTTTGATCGCTTGAAAATAATTGTATATTCTTTTCTCTAATATCAAGTATTTTTTTTTTTAATTTCTTTAATTTCTCTCTTACAATCTCTAAAAATATTTTTGAAGACAATCTAAGAATATCTTAAAAGAATCTATAATCTAAAAATATTAACATATACATTTATAATATATAGATATATAATATAGTTATAGAAATGAGCTCATTTCACGAATTTTGAAATATGATATTATAGATTTTATTTTGAATAACTTTTTTTTATATATGTTTTATATATGTTGTCATTTGGTTTTAATTTGTGATTTAGATACAAATGTATATTATATGGAATATATCGTATTTCTAATAATAATATTCTTAGTATAGACTTTTTAATTCGAATTAGATTAGGTTTGAATTTGATTTATATTAAATTATCCAATCAAATTAATTTAAATCTAAAATAAATCCAGCACATTAATCTAATTAAATAAATAATTATTTTATCATATTTTTTTTAATAAATGATAATAAATAATAAATTCTTTTATTATTAACTGGAAAGATTTTTTTCATTATATTAAAAAATATTAATATCTGATTATCAAAATCATATTTGAAAAATTTTATTAAGTAACTAACATAATGTTCAGTTTGATTTTTATATCATAGAATATTAGCTCATATTTCAAATTTTTTAATATAATGGTGAAAATATTTTTTATATAACTTATAAATTCAATATAAGACTTAATAATGGTTAATAAAATTTAAAATATATTTGAAATAAAACAACAGTCATGTGTATATGTATATTTGTATATATGTATATATGTATTTATGTATATTATTTATGTATACTTTTTTCTATTCTTACGCATATTTTTTCCTATAATTAGCTTTAATAATAATAGATTAAATAGCATCATTTATTATTATCATTATGAATTTAGGTTAGATTATAGAAATAAATTATATAGAAATTAGATAATGATAGCGATTTATATAAACCATAATATTTAGATAACATAATTTTACTTTTTTTTTGTTCTTCATTTATGAGTAACAAAATATGTGTATCTAAATTAATAAATCAAACAATAAACAAAAATAATGATTTTTCTTCTAATTCTTTAGAACATACTTAATAAGTAAGATATGTTACCTAATCCTTACAATTTTACTATTGCTAGAGTTTTACTATTATTATTATCATTGTTAAGACTTTTATGTACAGAAATCCATATACAATGGTCTTTAATATTTTCTCTGATAATTTGTATACTTGAATGATATTAGTCATGTAAATAATTTTCTTGCAGTGCTGATTTATTAAGAATAGTACAATTTACTATACTTTAATATACCTATACTTTCGCAATATAAATGAGAACACAAATTCAATAATTATAATATTAATAATTATATTAATAAATTAATATTAATAATTATTTGTATATAATAAAGATTATATACAATTTCTAATCAGATATCTATTTCTCAGTATATCTGCATTTTGTAATGGTCAATAGTGAATTTTCTGACTGGTCGTTCAAATTTTGCCAATTATTAATCGATCAATAGATTTTTAAATTTTTTTTGAGAACTGATTGACAAGTCTCTATTGACTTGATTAATTTCCAAGTCATATGAATATTTTGATTGAAAATTTATATATATATTATTATTTATATATATATTATATATATATTATTATTCAAAGTTTATTGAAGCAATTTACTCGGATCACAATTCAAATTAAGTTTGTATAAAATTCTTTTTTATATATAACAATATTTTTATA